AATTGTTCAAGAAATAAATATACACTGGTGTGACCAGGATATTTCCCTCCCTTCTCCACTCTTTTTTTTAGGATGCGGTCCGGGATGACATTTCTCAAGCAGGGAAAACGCTATAGCACAAACACAAAAATACTCTTGGACTCTGCTCAGCAGAAGCCCGGAGGTCGGGCAGAGGGTTATGTTTCATTTTAGGGGGGGAAATAAAACAGGCTTAAGGGTAAGGTGGGATGGGGAGGGACGAGGGGGCTGAGCTGCAGTGCACACCATTTCCCAGCCAGCAAAGGGCCGCTCTCCATGCGCGTATCTCCCAGCACTGGTCACATGAAAGTTCTTTGTAATGTAGTTAATAAATGGGAAAGCACTATAGGACCATGGGAGAAATAGGACGTTGTTAGTGATGGGGGCATTAAGACCACGGACGCCCTTTGACACACGATGGCCCGGCTCAGGCAGCATTCCCCCTGCTTTAGCCAGAGGTACCTGCAGGAGAAGTGCAGGATCCTGCTCCCCTTTGAAATTCCCAGGGATTGTTCCTCCAAGCTCAATGGGAGCAGGATCGAGGCCAGAGTCAAGCGAGGGGTGATTAATGAATGTAGGTTATTCAGAGCCGAGCGGTTCCAATTAGTCCTCAGCAAGCAGTCCTGCGGCAAAGGTGGGCGCTCCCCTGCAATGATTCATACAGAGAACCCCAATACTCGCTTTGCTTTAGCAAACATTAAAACGTGCATCTATTTTTTTTCCTCCCTTCAGTTGGGCAGTTGGCGTGTTTCAGGCTGAAATTCAAGCGCAGCCTAAGGAAGGCTGCATTTTTTTTTTATTTGCAAAGCAAGATTGCAATGTGTCATAACGATGCCAAACTGGGAGAGAGCCTTTCTTCCCTCTCAGGTTGGGTGTGTGATGGGAATTTTCCCTTTTGCACTCAGTCTATTTCTAGGAAGGATTTCTCTTATCGCTGTTCAAACAGGGTGTTTTTTTTTTTCCTTCGAGAAAGAAGATACTTCAGGGAGGCAGCAGTGCTTCCCTTGCTCTGCGCTACTCAGTCGATTCACAATACTTTTAAAATCCTAGTGCCTGCTCCTAACTTTGCCTGCAAGGAAACCTGGAGCGGCAGAGGGGCGCGGGGATGAGGCTGCACCACAAGCGGGTCCCGCTCCGGGGGCTTGGGGCTCCGCGCTCCCTCGGGGGCTGCAGCGCCGTTTTGGGGGGGGCTTTGCCAAGGACAGGCCTCGTCCTTTCCCTTCCTTAGGTCAGGGCTCCTTCGGGAGCTGTCGGCAAGGGCAGCACCGAAGCATTTAAGTGACCCCCTGTGAAAGAACCTGGGCACGAGTAAAAGCTCAGCCAGGGAAGGGGAGGTGGGAGAAGAAATAAAAAGCAGCCCTGTCTTTATGAGAGGAGATAATTCTCTGCTTGGCCAATAGCAACCAGTTTACCCACAGATTACACATTAACCAGAGAATGGAACTCAAATTAACCAGAATCTGGAGCTTGAACCATTACTCAAACCCTGGTGCAACAGCAGGTCAGATGCCAAAGGGCAGGTTGGTGCCCCGGTGCTGGGGAGGGGTGAGGCGCAGCATCGGCATCGGGGACCACGGCCACCGATGCCCATTGTCACCCACGGCGGGGCCGGGTGTCCATCCCCTTCAGAGGGACCTCAGCAGGAGCAGGTTGACCTCCAGCAGCGCCCAGTGCTCGCTGACGCAGGCTCTCATGGGTGCAGGCGCCGTGGGGGGGGCTCAGGGCCGCATCCTGACCTCAGCAAACAGGGCAGGATGGGGTCCAAGCCATGGACTGGACAAAACGGGCAGAGGAATGGCAACAGGTCCTCTCCTTTCAGTGCCACCAGTGCCCGGGAGGGATGACCTTACAGCTGGGAAGAAGTTGCACCGACAGCAGGGGGGGAAAAATAAAGGAAAAACAAAAAGTGCTGGGTTCATGAGCCTGGGTCTGGAGATAAAACCCCCATCCTGGAGGAGCTGGAGCATCCTTCGGAGAGGCCTCTGCTTCTCAAATAAACTGGGCAGATAATCCCATTCAAAGAGCGGGAGAGGACTCTGCAAACGGACACCAGAGGCTCTCGGGGAAGGTGGCTTTAAACGAACTGGGTCGAGGGTTTGAGGAGCCTTTCGAAGTCAAAATGCCCTTTGACATGAAGAACTGCAGTGAAGAGGGGCTCGGAGACCTGAACATTTCTAGCACATTAACCTTTGGATTGATTGTTTAGGACAAGTAACTCCCACAAGTTGGAGGAAGTCCTTTGAATTTTTTTTTTCTCTGCTCCTCTGTCCTGGGCTTTATAAGGCCTGTAGCAAAAAAAAAAAAAAAAAAAAAAAAGGAAAAAAAAGAAACCCACAGGGCAAACAAAAGAAGAAGGGGGGGGAAAAAGCAAAGAAAAGAAAAAAAGGAGGCAGTATGGACCCAAATGGCAAGAAATCTTTCGATCTAGCGTTAAGTGGCCCTGTGACAAGCCAAGCCTGATGCAGTGTCATCTCTTACTAGAGACAGGCATGCTTTGCTAGGATCAGATGATAAGAGGATGTGAAGTCTTCCCTTTCACTTCACTCCATCATAAAACAATCAAAATATAGGGCTGTATCATGTCATCAGGTTTTTAAGCAGACCTCCCCTTTGAGATCTCCTAAAACCTGGTGGGATGATCTGAGTCACTGAAACTGAGCTCATTGCAATACTGAGACGTCAGAAGCAGCACCTGAAAGCTCACGTTTTTCATCTACCTGAAAGATAACTTGATTTCTAGCGGGCGACAATTTTCCATTTTACACGAAGCTATCCTTTTCCTTCTCCCCTCCTGAATATTATTGAGGCCAGCTCTTGGATCAGCATCACCCCTTCGCCAGGCAGTACACTGAAGTACTGCTCTCGGAGTTATTGAACTTTAAACTACAGACTAAGAAACTGAGTACGGAATCAAAAAAATGCAGTTTATTATTGTAGATTATTCTCTCTTTTGATATAACCATAGAGTCGAAAATGAAAGAAAAGCACATAGGAACATCACACGTGGTTAGTTAGTAACTCAAGATATAAAACAATTTTGCACAGCAAAATATGTAAAAGAAAAAGTAACTGACAAGATTTTTTTATATTTATTGTGGTAAGATTTACTTTCCATTTTTTTTTTTTAAAAGACAGGATATCAGTCCCTGAAAATAAAATTTACTGATTATTGCCTTTAAAACTGTGGAATTTTTGAAGTTACAGAAAATCCAGTTCTGCACCACAATACAACTGTAAAAAAATCTGCATCATTTTAAAACTGTGCAGTAATGCCATCTTTATAACTGCATAAATTGTATTAGCGTTCTAAACAGGTTCGTAATTTTTTTTTTGTTTTTGTATTATATGCTTGCAGGTTATATCTTAGTGCAATTCAGTCCCAAATACTTCAATTTTGAAAAAAAAAAAAACCAACCCATACATTTTGAATGTAAAATACCCCTATAGATATAAACAGGGGTGCCTCCCCCTTTTAATACTTTGGTTTTCAAATACAGTCAGTGGTATAGCAAGGACTACATATACCCAACTTATATTTAAGTTGCAAGCACATGCTGCATAAACTACTTTTTAAAACAGTCCCGTTGCAAATTCTACCCCCCTTTACATCACGACAGTAAACAATTTAGTGCATCAATCTTTAAAAAAAAATCTACATCTAAACAGACCTAACTCTTTCGAATTTATCTATAACATTCCTTTATCTGTAGCATACATTTTAACTGGGCTAACAGATGACAGAAACTAGAATTAAATTATATACTAGGAACCCAGAGCATTCCACATTTGACAATGACCAAATGCAAAAGGAAAAAAAAAATGGGGCAGATCACTTAAAATTAATTTTTAGACTGTTTTAGGCAACAGCATGGTTTCAATGTCCCCCCCAAGTGGGATGTGAATTTTGAACATCTTTCCAAAGTTCTTTTTGTGGTTTTTATATGTTTTTTTGCCACATTAGGTTATCAAAATCCATTCTGGCATGTTTTTTGAGAGGGAATGCTTCAGTGCATTTAAAAGGAAGTCTGAAGTTTTGAGTAACTCAAAGCAGTTTTAGAGCAGATGCAAACTTTAATGGGGAGGAAGAGGAGGAGGAAGATCAAAGGTTGCACTTTTTTGCTTTCAACCCAAAAAAGTGATGAGGCAATAAAACAAAAGGATGAATGCCATGCCATAATAGTCTCCAAAAGTCCATTTCCAAGCAAAAGAAAAAAAAAATAATTATACCGTACATGACCAGCATGCAGGGTTTTTTATTAATATAATGTCTCTTTTTCATAGTCTTTCGAAACAGTTATAGTTCATTGTTGCTAAGACAAAATAGCAAGCGTAATGCATGAGATGAGTATGGGATTCTAATGGCAGACTAAAGTCTCACGTTTGGCAGATTAAGGCCAAAACTCACATGAACACACCGAAGGTTGATGCAGGCTTGATTTTGGCAGGTTGATCTAGGCATATCTCTAGTTTTGCACAACAACGCTAAAAACTGATGGAACTCAGCAAGCTGGAGTCTAAAAATTTCACATTGTTTTTGTATTTTTTGTTTTTGTTTTGTTTTTTTTTTGTATTTTTTTAATTATATTTTTCTTTTTGCAAAGCTCAAATCTCATATGAAGAACTCAGGATGGCAAAAAAAAAAAAAATCTGACTTTTTTGGACACAGCAAGCTCAAAAGAAAAAAAACCTCATGAACTTAAAAATATATATATATATATAATGTGGATGGCAGGTTTCAAAGAAGAGCAAGCTTCATATGAAGAACTGAGTTGGTGGCGAGTTGGATCTTTTAAATTTAAAAAAAAAAAAAAAAAAACAAAAAACAAAAACCAACCCAAAAAACAACTTTGTTTTAAAATTGTTTTGAGTTTAAAAAAAAAAAAAAGTAATACAAGGTGGCAAGCTGTGTTATTGCTCTAGCAAAGCCCCCAACAACAACTCACACGGAGAACTTTTAGTTAAGGTGGCAAGGCTGTGGGAACTCACATGAAAAACTCTGGAGAGGAAGGGTTGTCGCTGCTGGATCCGTTTTCTCTGAAGCCATTGCTGACCAGCTTCTCGTATTTTTCCTTGTAGGCGTCCCTCTCCCGGACCAGCCTGGAGATCTCCTGCTTTAGGTGCTCCACTTGCTGCAGCAGCTGGTTCTTCTCCGACTCCAGGACGTGCCGCTGCTGGACCCTCTTGAAGCGGCAGGACTGGGCATAGCCCCTGTTTTTGAGGGTCCTCCTCTTCTGCTTCAGCCGGATCACCTCTTCCTTGCTGACGCCCCGCAGCTGCCGGTTGAGCTCCCGCACCGACATGGTCAC